TACTAAACAAGGTTCTGGTAAATGTTTCAGGAGTTGATAATGTAAATTATCAGCTCCTGAAGCAGTATCGTGAGCCTGCCCAAGGGCAGTATGTAGCTCATGAAGAGAAAATACTTCATTATAATCTTCCCCATTATCTGAATTAAAATTAATAGTTTTCTTTTCCTGCTGTGTTTTGTACTTCTGGAATTGAGGAACATAGTTAGACGAGGAAGAATGTTTAGCTAAAGTTTCACCAAGTTTATTAGCAATATCGGACTTATCAGTTAACAATTCATTCCCATTTTGAAGATGGTGGATACCAGATTTAGATCCCTTACCTTTAATTTTTTTGATCATGTTCCATACCTTCGATAGCGGCGTACGTGAATTTAGTTTCGAAACGTAAGCTTGCCAAGACATGCGTTTATTTTGTTTAAATGTACGTCGTGCCTTGGCATTTATGATTTTGAATTTATTTAAATTATGAACCATAGGATGACGACGGAAATAATTCTCAGCCTTTTTCCGTGCCTTCCTAGCTTGTTTGCAAGTATCATTGAACCATGGTTTACGGATGTGTGGATTTCCAGAGGACTTTGGAATACATTCATCAGCTATATTATGGAGTGCATCAGAGAAACATTTGACTGGATCAGGAACATCTAGAAACAGTTCAGGTGTAAGTCGGTTTGCACAAAGATTTTCATACAAAGGCCAGTTAGCCTTATTGAAATTCCATCTTGATGATGGAGGAACGTCAGATGTGGTCACAGACTTAAGAATGGTAGGGAAATGGTCACTTCCACAGAGGTCGTTGCGGACTGACCACTCAAACTCATCAAGCAAATCTGAATCTGAAATTGACAAATCAATGGACGAGTATGTCCCAGTACCAGGATGAAGATATGTTTTTGAATTATCGTTGAAAATACATAAATCATTATTTAACATAAAATCTTCCAGCAACTTTCCTCTCGTGTTGGTATGTGCACTGCCCCATAAGGGATTATGCCCATTTAAATCACCCCTTATGATGCAGGGCTTTGGTAGTTGGTCATAAAGGGCTTGGAGATCAGTTTGCTGAAGAGAATATGATGGAGGAATATAGAGTGAGCACAAAGTGAGTACGATGTGCAGAGTCACACGAACTGCAACAGCCTGAAGAGCGGTATTAAGGAGAACTGGGCTGTGAAGAACACCCTGCTTTACTAATACTGAAGAACCTTCAGTGGCCTTAGCCCCTGGGGGAGAAAAGAAATGGTAGGAAGTATAGCCTCTTATGTCAATTTGATCTGTAGTTTTCAAGTATGTTTCCTGAAGACATAAAGCTGATGGTTGAAAATCTTGTTGTAGTAATTGGATATCATTATAGTTATGCCGTAGTCCTCTGCAATTCCATTGAAGGATATGACTTGAGCAGCTCATGGCGGCTCAACCGGGGATCGTGAGCGGGAGGAGTGTCCACTCCCATGGACTGGCTGTGTGGGAGTGACATCCATCTCCAGAGGTGCATAGGGGTTATGAACCTCAACAGATGTTGTAATAGAAGGCATCTCCATGTGTTGGAGGGCCCTGGTTTTTCGAAGTTTCTTTTTTTCGCTGTTAGTTAAGTGGACTTTGCCCACTGGTTGGCTGTCGGGTACTAATTCTGGTTCCGTCTGAGATGAAGCTGTGGCAATCAGTGGATCACTATTGGACCTATGATGTAAAGTATCAAGAATAACCTGGTCATCCTTGATCCACGAGATGTCAGTTTGACAAGAAATAGATTTTGTCGAAGGTTTAGCAACTGGAGTTGGGGAGGAAATTGCTGCTGAGTATGATTTTACAGGAGCTGGAGCTACAGATTGTACTAATTTCTTTGCTTCTAGGTAGGTGACATTGTTTGTATGTTTTATTTTCAAAATTTTGGACTCAAATTCAAAAGTTGGACAGGATTTGGAGGAAGCCATATGCTCACCGCCACAGTTTAGAGCACTTCATGTCACTAGAGCAGTCTGATGTGTCATGAGCTCCACTACAACGGCAGCACACGACTGCCTTGCCACGACAGAATTTGGCACCATGACCAAACTTTTGACATTTGAAACATCGAAGTGGATGAGGTACATAAACCTCCACTCCAATGTGAAAGTATCCAGCTTTTATAGAGTTAGGGATTCTTGGTAGGGAGAAGCTGAAAAGGTAAGTTTGAGTATTTACAATGTTGCCTTCTTGTGTTTTCCTTGTGAAGCGTTTAACATTGGTGACTCCTTGGCTTTTCAGTTCAGCAGCAATCTCTTCCTCGCTCATGTCGGAAAGACAGAGAGCTAGGTCCCTGACAATACCTCGGCTAGAGTTCAGTGTCTTGTGCTCGGAAACAACAACCTGAGTATTAACAAACTGCTGTAAGCCCAGCAGATTGACAGATTGCTGTTTCCTTGCACATTCCACCAAGATGGAACCAGTCCGAAGGCGTGTTACATTTGTCACTTCTCTGCAGGCACTTTGAATGCCCTTAGAGATAGCGAACGGATTTAATTTCAATGGATGTCCATCAGAAGAAGATATGACTATAAACCGAGGCCAAGCATCCTTAACTTCAGGCGAAACTTCATCATCTGACGAAGTTGACTCTACATGTCGACGTTTGTTTGTTTTGCTAGAACCAGAAGTGTTTGTGTGAGACATGGTGAGATAATATGGTTCAGCACCGCAGCTCCCCACCCGCCACCGAGTGTCAATGAAGACGGTGTCGCAGTGGAAGCCAGCCTGCAACACCAGGGATACAGCGGTGTTATACTCTAGTAAATATCGACTTGAATAGCTATGAGATCCAAAAGAAGAAGTGTCAGGCTGGTTCTGCCCATAACACTGTTCCCAAGAAACACAGAATTCGGAGGTCTCTATCACCAGATTGGCCCATGAGCCACCGCCTTCCAGCATAGGACTCTAGGCAAGTTAGGATATCAATATGTAGTTTATTCCAAGTCCAAAATATAACATTCTTGAAAATCCAGGATGTGCAGAAATAATTCTATGCACAGGGCTTGGCATGACCAGCCGATTGATAGAACCGGGCCCATTCTACCACCCGTCTAGGCGAAGTAAGGGTCGAAGTGGTGTGTTGGGCAAAAGGAACACCGGTTCCTGGCTCCAGTGCCCTCAACCACCAGAATCCCGTCCTCCGCCGACACAGGGGCGCAACCCACGGCAAACAGGTTGCCCAATTTGGTCGCCTTCTACGACCAGCAATTGGGTGCTGTGGAAATATTCTACCCCGGTTCCACACGGGGGAAGAGCTATTAGCGCTACCCAGCACTCACCACGAGGAGGTTGCTCTTCACGAGTGCCCACTCACTTAGTGTTATATCTACTACCAGGGCAGACACTTAAGGCTGGATGTAAGATCTACTGTCATGACAGCCTAACTAGTCTTGGTGTTGTATCTACTACCAGGGCAGACACTTAAGGCTGGATGTTAGATCTACTGTCATAACATCCCAACTAGTGTTGGTGTTATATCTACTACCAGGGCAGAAACGTTAGGCTGGATGATAGATCTACTGTCATGACAGCCTAACTAGTCTTGGTGTTATATCTATTACCAGGGCAGACACTTAAGGCTGGATGTTAGATCTACTGTCATGACAGCCTAACTGGTCTTTGTGTTATATCTACTACCAGGGCAGACACTTAAGGCTGGATGTTAGATCTACTGTCATGACGCCCTAACTAGTCTTAGTGTTATATCTACTATGTAAAATATTTACTATTACATCTACTACCAGGGCAGAAACGTTAGGCTGGATGATATATCTACTGTCATGGCAGCCTAACAAGTCTTGGTGTTATATCTACTACCAGGGCAGACACGTTAGGCTGGATGTTTGATCTACTGTCGTGACAGCCTAACTAATCTTGGTGTTATATCTACTACCAGGGCTGGATGTTAGATCTCATGACAACCTAACTAGTCTTAGTGTTAGATTTTCTACCAGGGCAGATGCGTTAGGCTTAATATCAGATCTACTGTCATGACACCCCAACTAGTGTTGGTGTTATATCTACTACCAGGGCAGACACGTTAGGCTGGATGATAGATCTACTGTCATGACACCCTAACTAGTCTTGGTGTTATATCTACTATGTATAATATTTACTATTACATCTACTACCAGGGCAGACACGTTAGGCTGGATGATAGATCTACTGTCATGACACCCTAACTAGTCTTGGCGTTATATCTCCTATGTATAATGTTTCATTGTTGATACCACACTCTAGACGATCCCTTAACTGAGTCTCTAAATCAATATATTCACATGTGGATGTCAAACGACGTAACTCATATGCCGATACAGTTTCTTTAGGGTGTCTATCACGCATATTGTACCTCCTCCTTTCTATCATAACAGTGTGTTTCGGGTGTAAATGTGACTTCATCAGCTGTGATTGCCAGGTTTCTGTGGCGTAGACAAATTCCGTAGTAACGTGTATGACTTCGCACCAATCACACTCAATAGAATAGCACGCTTCCTACCCTGATCTGTAATTTCGTTTGCTGCTAAATAATGTTCAAGTCTCTCGACATATTCATTCCAGTCATTAGTCTGAGAATCATATTCATCTATTTTGCCAAACATAGCCATGTTGTTTTGAATACCGAGCGAAAGCACGTGGTCTGACCAAGATCGTTCTTACAACTCGCCGACACGACAAACGCACTAAATTGACCTCGTAGCCAATATATATGGTAACCCCAGACTACATACAGTCATACCATCAAAAAGACAGCCCGATATTCTATCATGCGTTTGGAATTTACTCGATTCTGATTGGTCAATCAGAGGCTATTAAATCACAATAAACCCCCTGTGATTGAAACAGCTGGTTTGACGGCCGCATCACCGCAGAATATTTCTAAAAACAGCGTACAACCATACTAACTCTAATGCCTGTGTGACTCTACATAACTTAGGGCCCCTGTAGTGTTCTACCACTGAAAGATAGAACCACGTATACATGATACATTTCAGCGATGGATTCTGAAACCGACAAGGGAGAGAAGGGTGCTGAGGTGATCCCCTTGTCTGAATCGTTCGACAGAAGTGACTCCGGGGATGACACGCCAGCGAGAGGAACATGGGGCTCACAGATCGACTACCTCTTGTCTGTGATCGGGTTCTGTGTTGGCCTAGGAAACGTGTGGCGCTTTCCCTATATCTGCAATAGAAATGGCGGAGGTAATTACCACTGGTGTGGAAGATAAAATCACATATAACAACATTTGTATATCTTCTTTAAATAGTTACAATAGACACGTGTTGATGTGAATGATATTGAATTGATGTGTTGACATTCAAAACATTTAGCCATTAATATATAAATAAAGTGTTGAATCCTCAAATGTATTATACATTTATCACAGTTTTTGTCTCACTTACAAAGACGGTTCTTTGTAATCGTTTTTCTCTCTATCCCCTTTATATAGACACAGCTGATGAGTAGCTCAGTGGTTGAAGTGTTCGCTCGTTACACCGAAGACCCGAGTTTGACTCCCCACATATGGGTATAATGTCTATGCTTGGTCTCTGCCACAAGTGATCTTGCTGCCATATTGCAAAGAATGGGGTATATCCGAACTTATTCACTTAAATGAACAGATCTTCCCATTGGAGTCTATCTTCCAGGTGCCTTCCTAATCCCGTTCATTGTGTGCCTGGTGCTGTGCGGCCTGCCTCTATTCTTCCTCGAGGTGGCAATGGGACAGTTCTCTGGCAAAAGTGCTACCCATGTGTGGAGCGTGTGCCCCTTAATGAAAGGTATGGTTATGTTTCACAACATAAACATTTCGTGCCTGATTTGACGGCGTCTTAAGTACATTAACGGTCCACTCTTGCTTGATGTCGTCATTACCCGCGTAACCAATGGTAACGGTGACATGCAGGTGTAACATAATCAAACTTGGTTTACTGAGTTACTAGCGTTACTAGGGTTACTAGGAATAGCCCGCGGTAAGCTTTATAAATATTTGTGCGTGTCTACATCAGGTGTTGGTATCGGGATGCTCATTATATCTGCCGGCACCGCCGTGTACTCCACCACCATCTGCGCGTGGTCGCTGTACTACACCATCTTCTCCTGTCGAGCCGTCCTTCCCTGGACCGACTGTGGCAACTCCTGGAACACTGACAGTTGTGTGACGAACCTGCAAGCTCTATCGCAAGGGCTCACTGAAGGTAGGAATAAAACGACTTATGTGTTATTAAAAGGGAATTGCCCCAAACTGATACAGGGTGCTGCCCTGGTCAGCGAAGGCATCTGGTAGATGCATGAGGTCGTGTCAACATATGAGACGGAGACATGATCCAAGTGTTACAACCAACAGAACAATGTCAGATCTCCACTCTCTGAGTGCATCTTGTGATAATCTTGCTGTATGAATGAATTAAGTGATTCCGCTGAATTTGATTGGCCAACGATGCCTACTTATTGACCACTGGTTATTGTTTAGCTGATAACAGTATGGGTGGGGCTTGTGATGTTGTTGCATTGAACAATGTGCCTGATTTCGTATTGTTGTCTGCAGTTGTTTTCAACTCATGACTGAAAGATCATTCAACTATTGATAACATTTTTATTTTGCAAGCTATTATACAAAAGTGTATCACTCGCAAAAAAGGAAAAGTATATTGCGCTTTTATTGATTTTCGAAAGGCATTTGTTATGGTTGATAGGAGTAGGTTAATGGATATTTTATTGCAAAATGGTATTCATTTCAAGTTTTTATGTATTATCCAGAGCATGTGTAATCATGTTAAATCACTGTAACATACACTTAGGTCTATGAAAATTACTGATGTTTGTCGACGATTTAGTACTTGTTGCAGACAGTGTATTAAAATTACAAAAACGTCATGATGAATTATATTTTTACTCTGATTAAAACGGTATGGATATTAATTCCAAAAAGAGTAAAATTATTGTGTTTAAAATGGGAGGACCCTTGTCAAAAAATGAGAAATGGTATTATAACGGTGAACGTATGAATACGGTTAACGCCTATAAATATTTGGAACTTGTTTTCACTCTTAAATTAATTTGGCCTAAGGCCTGTAAAACTTTATGTGAGCAAGCAAGCAAAGCACTTTGGTCAGTTAAATCGTTAATAAGACGTTACGGAAGCATTCTTTATATTTGATAAAATAACTGTTCCGATATTAATGTATGGTGCTGAGATTTGGGGATACCAAAAATGGAATACGATTGAAATTGTTCACCGCAAATTTAGTAAATTTTTACTTCACACGGACTACAGAACTGCAAATGCAGTTGCCTATGGTGAATGTGGTAGATATCCACTTCATACTATTTATTATGTAAAATGCATCAAATATTGGTTTAAGATTTTGCAAATGAGTCCACATAGATACCCATACCAGTGTTATAAAATGTTATTATCCATTGCTGATAGAAAACGTCCTAACTTGGCATCGCATATCAGACTTTTGCTAAGTCGTTATGGTTTGGGGAATGTATGGGCTGCACACGGCGTTGGCAATACAGACATATTTGTACATATGTTCAGCGAAAGGGTTACAGATTGTTCGTACAAGATTGGCATGGATCTCTATGCAGCAAGACCCTCTCATTCTATAGACTGCATAAATCTTATATCGTTTGTGAAAAAGATTTATTAAATATTAAGCATTGTGAATATGAAGGCTAATAACCAAATTTAGATGTGGACAGAATACTCTTGGCATGTAAACACTGTCATGTAATTGAGGATGAACTTCATGTTATATACAACTGTCCTCTTTATGCAAGTCGGCGGGAAATGTATAGCCCAAAGACAGTTATCATAATTATTTTTGTTTAGAAAGACTCTGTCAACTATCCAACAACGATGCAATGATAAATTTTGCAAAAATTTCTGATGTCGGTTTTATAGTGCTGGCCCACTGAGATGACATGCCGCATTAAACACAGATCGCCCACAGAACACTGACTCCACGCTGTTATCGCCTCAATGCCAATGCTGACCGACGGGCAGGGAGGCAATACATGAGATGACATGCCGCAGTATAACACAGATCGCCCACAGAACACTGACTCCACGCTGTTATCGCCTCAATGCTGACCGACAGGCAGGGGGGCAATACATGAGATGACATGCCGCAGTATAACACAGATCGCCCACAGAACACTGACTCCACGCTGTTATCCCCTCAATGCTGACCGACAGGCAGGGGGGCAATACATGAGATGACATGCCGCAGTATAACACAGATCGCCCACAGAACACTGACTCCACGCTGTTATCTCCTCAATGCTGACCGACAGGCAGGGGGGCAATACATGAGATGAGAGTGTGTACCAGACACATTATATATATCGATGATAAACATAGATGATCAGAGAGTGCAGCATATATGTTATAAACATCAGTTATAAAATACATAAGAGTGTGTACTAGTTGTTTTATATACATCAATTATAAATATAGATGCTGAGGGCGTGTAATGTATGTTTGTAACACACACACACACACACACACACACACACACACACACACACACACTCACACACACAAGAGTATCAATTAGGTAACTCTTAGATAAATATAATCTAAATGTATTTTCTACAATAGGTCAAATGGTCTTATTCAAATAAATCTTTCTGTCTGTATTTATACGAATTGATGGATGTACATAAACGTAAAATATATTGAAACCAATTTCTAAATGTCCTACCTGCAACAGGCCGGCTGATGTACATGAGTGGTGGCTTCGTAAATGTCGTTTAAGCACGACATCACACAGTTTTATAAATCTGGTACACAAAGACGGATGACATTGGCAGGTCATCTGCTCAAAGTTTCCTCCAGTGATACATTTCCATGATAATGAATATATATGATACCTCAATTACAATTCTCTGTCAATTTATGGTGTGGAATTTGTGTAGCTGGTTAACGCTTGAATATACATTTCCCTAACAGTTCTTAATACTGGGGTGTTGACATGTATTATGACAAATGGGTTAGTCTGGTTATCAAAGGAAAGATGACATGGATATGACAGAAAGATACTCTGGATTGATTGTTGAGATATATGTCGTTGATATTGGGCATCTATTATTTAATTGAAATCGAAGAGGCAACCCTGACGTTTCTAGCCTGTATTCGCAGGTCTCAATATTGATTTTAGCCAATTAAACATGAGTGAGTATGGTTTTGCGCCGCTTTTAGCACTATTCCAGCAATATCACGGCGGGGACACCAGAAATGAACTTCACTCATTGTACCCATGTCGGGAATCGAACCCGTGTCTTCGGCGTGACGAGCGAACGCTTTAATCACTAGGCTACCCGACCGCCCCCAATTAGACATGAGAAGACGTAACGTGAATATGTTTGTGTTGATGAGGAGAATGAGGGATGGGCAATGGTCGATCATTTTGTTGCAGGTTGGTTTAGCAAGGTTAGTGGGCAAGAAACTGAATCGAAGCCTGCAAACATGAGAGCACAAACACACGACGTGTGTAGCGTTCCTAACACCCAGATAGCCTTGACATTATAACACAATGAAGGTACCGTTACAGTTCTCTGGTGAAAGAAACTCTGCCGTGTAATCTATTGCTTCAAATAATTTCAATATTCTAGGAACTGGAATGCGATACAAAGAGCCTTTGGAATTTTGTACCGGTAGCAATTGGAAATTAAGTGTTCACTTTGGGGGGGATTTGGTTGTGCTTCGGTACCTCTAATTTATTATTCCGATTCCGATTGTCCCCTAAAGTAATAGGAGAAAGCACGACAACAAAACGAAGGGGAACGTCAACAGTAGACATGAGGTCTGGCTGTTCAGGCTGTTACTTGTATCCCGTGTGTTTCCACGTCGGGCGAAGGAATTATGTTTCTCCTGAGGAAACCAGAAACCAAATGTGTTTCCACACGAATACGATCGCCCTATACGAGTACTGGTTTGACTGCAAAGGGTCCTGAAGTCAGTGAGATTTGTCTTTGTCATTTACGCAGGCCATGCTATATATGACACGTCGTATTATCAAGAAAATACATAAAAACGTATATGTCTGCAGTACAGACAAAACTTCACTGAAGTCAACCCAAAACAGTCAAGTCCCGTTAATCCGATATCGATGGTTGCATATGATAAAGTCTGATCAACGGTTATGTCGGATAAATGAAATTAAGTAGTATCAACGTTCGTGATCGAAAATCGGACAACTACAATATAGAGAACGGTTCAAACATGTCTCAAAAGCACTGTTAACATGTTCCCATTATTAGTGTCGGATAAAGCCGATTGTCGGATTAACGAGTGTCGGATTAACGAGACGTGACTGTATGTTAGGCAAACACAATACACTGTATAGTATACCTTATCTTCAATGCCGATGTCGATCGGTGACGTACGTATGGCATATCACCTGTTATTACCAGGGCAACTTATGCTCAATTTTACTTTCCAGAAGAAATAACAGCTGGCGTTCTTTCATATTCAGTCGCCAACTTCACATTGTTAAATGGAACGGATGTGAACTCAACACTAACAGTGTACAACAACACAACTGTCCCAGGCAGCAGTGGATGGGGACCCAATGACACCCTAGCTCACACGGCAGCAGAGGAGTTCTGGCAGTAAGCAGAAACTGATTTATATGAAGCACCTGCACGTTTCCTTACAGACATATATTCAAACAGAAATTTCGTAGAAATATTTTTTCGGTAAAAACTAAAAAAGGTATATGAATACACAATGCCAAGTAGAAAATGGTTAAATGTAAAAATATTATATTTGGGACAATACTTTCTCAGTAAAATACAAATTATAGCACTTATTTTGGGGTTGAGTCCGATCCGGTATTCGAACCCATACACTGAGAGTAGAGTGGAAGCCTCGGTGTCTGAGTGGGTTAGATCGCTGTGTGCTGGCTCCCTGGTGGCTCACTCCAATCACGGACGGGACTCACACCAAAAGGGGCGGTCGGGTAGCCTAGTGGTTAAAGCGTTCGCTCGTCACGCCGAAGACTCGGGTTTGAGTCCCGACATGGGTACAATTTATGAAGCCCATTCCCGCCGTGATATTGCTGGAATATTGCTAAAAGCGGCGCAAAACCAAAAAACTCACTCACTCACTCACTCAACAAAAATGTACTGGCATTTGTACTTTACAAAGGAAGTTTTATCCCAAATATAACATTTGTTAAAATAAAGTCCAGGTGCTTAAAACTGAATATATTTTTACCCTGGAAGGCCTGTGGATGTGAAGTAGTGGTATAATATACCATTAATCATAGAAGAACATCATTTTCCTAAAAGGTCTATTATAATTGCACCACATTGAAAGTGTGTTGAAATTGTTAAAGAAAAAGAAATAATCCAACTAACTCGCTCTGTTTTCAGATATAAAGCCCTCAGTATCAGCGCAGGCCTGGGGCAGCTGGGAGGCATCAGGTGGGAGTTGGCGCTGTGTCTCCTTGCCTCCTGGGTACTCATATTCGGATGCATCGTGAAGGGTGTCAGGTCTGTCGGGAAGGTGAGCTGTCGTCCTCAACTAAACATAGACTAAAGCATGCTTTAAACAGACTGAAGCTTGGTTTAAACAATAACTTAAGCTTGGTTTAAACACAGACTTAAGCTTGATTTAACATAAACTTAAGCTTGGTTTAAACAATAACTTAAGTTGGTTTAAACAATAACTTAAGCTTGGTTTAAACAATAACCTAAGCTTGGTTTAAACAATACCTCAAGCTTGGTTTAACATAGACTTAAGCTTGGTTTAACATAGACTTAAGCTTGGTTTATGTGCATGTTTTCCTCAGGTTTGTTTTACTCTAGGGGTTAACTGAGCCAGCGTCAGATTTAACCCATGGGTATTTGTTTTCACACGTTTACATAGAAGCTTGAAAAGGGCCTGGTATGCGTGCTGACAAGGTGTGACAACTACACATCCTATAATCATCACTATCACAGTGATCACAGAATGGCTTGAAGCAGACACATTACAAGACGGGGGAGGAGGACAACTGGCCCCACCAGGAGATATCGCTTGGGTGAGATCAAGCGATATCCACATCACTAATGGCTCTGCTACTGGAGCTGTCAGCAGTACTTTTTACACTTAAGACACTGCTTATTACTGATTACAAACTGAAAAAGTTGGAAGAATGATTTCGGATGATAAATAGAATCTCACACTTGTGTCTTTTGATATCAAATATATTAACACTCAAGCCTCGGAGTTTTCAATCTCATTAAAATCAGACTTTAGTTCTCGCTACCGCTAAACAAAGATATGAAGACATCCCATTAGGGGTCACGTCAGAACGACCTTTCATCCGACCAATGAGTGCGTCGCTTACCAGATTATGAAAGTGACAGTCGGAATGAGACAAAGAGCGGACGGAAACCAATTTTTGATCAGCGATGGGGCCTATCCAATGTGTTCAGTGTTACTTGGGAGGGATTAATTCACCGATAGTCTTTTCACTTAAAATTGGCCCCAAATTTGTGGATACCGAACCTACGCAAAACACAGGTTACAGTTGAACCAGGAAGAATATTTTGACACCGGTTAAACAGCAAAATACACTCGTAAATAAAATCTAACCCAGGGTATTACATACAGCCCGAGGCCGACCTGTAAAAACCAGGCTTTGCACGTTATTTCATGATATTGTTGAAGTATTGCCACTACAATAGCAATCCTAGTGTGAATACCTGGCGGTCAAGTCGCTCAAGAACTATTGACATGTCAGTTGTATTGAACATTGACTCCTAGCAACCACGTTTTGTGTCTAACCCTTAATGCGAATGAACGAAGGTTACAGTGTTCAGTGTTGTGCGAGGTGTGGCTGTGATGTCCTTGTTGCCGTGCAAGGCAAGCAGGTACATGTATGTCATCGTGATTTTACCAACGTTTCTCTCGCTGCTCCTTCATCAGGGGAATCATTCAGACCGTCTTGTTCCTTCATCAGGGGAATTATTCATCACAGGAGCAAGAAGTAGCTGAAACGTCGTACAAAAAATAAAATAACTTGCTATCCATAAAAATGGGTTGTATTCATATTCTCCCAAATTCTAAATGCTTCAAAGACTTTACTGATATGTAATTCGTAGATTGCAGTTTCGCTGGGATATAGACTTACTGTGGAATATCTCTCTAGCGTAGGAAGGGAGCAGTGTGGGTAGCCTAGTGGGTAAAGCTCGTCACGCCGAAGACCCGGGCTCGATTCCCCACATGGGTACAATGTGTGAAGCCCATTTCTGGTGTGATATTACTGGAATATTGCTAAAAGCGGCGTAAAACCGTACTCACTCACTCATTCTCTATCGTAGGCTGTCTACGTGACTGCCACGCTACCCTACGTCATCCTCACCATCCTGTTCGTCCGAGGCTTGACGTTACCCGGAGGAACAAAGGGCGTCCTGTTCTACATTACTCCGGATTTCAGCAAACTACTGGAAATTCAGGTTGGTGATGAACAAGGAATGGTGCTTGATGTTATATCGACGTCAGTTCAGTGCACTTGGATTTTCATGATATTATGTTCATTGTTGATGTGACATGGAGTGCACATCCCGGATAAAGGGTTGGGGCGACTGGGTGTGGCGTAGGTTGGGCTTGGTGAAAGTATTAGATTGTCACGGGCGGCCAAGTAGTCTACAGCGTCACAATATTTGGTGAAGGTGATCTTGGGTTTGTCTTCCTCTGGACCCTTACCTTGAATTGATATACTGATTGAAGCTGCGTTAATCCATACTTACTCACCCACTTTCCTGAATGAATCACTCACTGCTTTGCTGCAGGTCTGGCTTGAGGCATGTCTCCAGGTGTTCTATTCGCTCGGACCCGCATGGGGAGGTCTCGTTACCATGGCAAGCTACAACAAGTTCAACACCAACTGTCTCAGGTAATTACTGAACTCGCACAATCACACTTGAAACGCAGCACCTTTGGAACCGTCTGACTGCTGAACTAAATGATTCCACATGACCAATACTCGATTTCGGGATCCTGTGAAACGTTTCACTTCCGACATAATGATTCTACATGACCAATACTCGATTTCGGGATCCCGTGAAACGTTTCACTTCTGACATAATGGTTCTACATAGCCAATACCTGAGTGCCAGGTTACTCCGTGAAACGTCTTACGTCTGACAAAATGGTTCAACATGACTAATACTTGAGTACCTGGGAGACCATGACACATCTCACCCCTGACGTAATAATTCTACATGGCCAATACTTAAGTACCTGGTTACTCTGTGAAACGTCTTACGTCTTATATAATGATTCTTCTTGACAAAACAATTTCGAGTGCAAGATTGCTCCGTGAAACACGACAAGTTCCCGAGTACACTTTCAACATTTAAATATTAACAGGCTGACTCTACTCTACTATTTATTCGAGGATTGTAGCCATGACTATGACAGGTTTGTGCTCTGGCCCTTTTTCCTGATGGAAGACCACCTATCTTCTCCGCTTTCGGAATAAATGGCGATTACCATTAACTTTAGCGATCATTTAAGGGGGAATATAAGGAAGTGTCAACTAGGTGGTGAAGTATATTAATTGACTGATGCAGAATGTTGTTGACTGCACTACCAGTCTTGGCATGGACGCGATATTTTTAGTGTTTCTGACTGATACCTAGGGGGGTCGTCACGACGATATCAACATGCTGCCATACATACTGACTTTTCCTGTGGATGCAAACACCTTGGGTACGTGATATAAGCGTTTAAACTATTATAAACAATGTTCCTGTAATTATTCCTGATATGGTTCCCCAGGAAACGGGAAATGTTTTTGTCGGTGTGCACGTCATTTGGGGATACAGCCGAAGGGGATCTGTATGGACGTGAAAATGTGTCAGTTTTGCGATGACATGATCGGCCTGTCCTCCAGAAGGAAAACGGTTCACTGTGTAAAGTACACATTAGATTAAGTCTTCCCAAACACAACACTGTTTCCTCCATATGACACAATGTTAATCCCCGTGGGGACCCGGGGAAGATAAACAAGAATGTGTCCTCAGCACCCCATTGCTGGTCGTAAAAGGCGACCAAAGTGGGCAGCCTGTTTGCCGTGGGCTGCGACCCTGTGTCGGCAGAGGAAGGGATTCTGGTGGTTGAGGGCGACGGAGCCGGCAATAGTGCTCCTTAGTCCAACACACCACTTCGACCCTAACTTTGCCTAGACGGGCGGTAGAATGGGCCCGATTCTATCAATCGGCTGATCATGTCATGCCCTGTGCATACAATCTTTTGCACAATCTTTTGGTATTTACAAATAAATTAATTCTGAATGTTTTGAATATATGTGTCCATCTATAAAACTTGCTTAGAGCCCTATGCCCTGAAGACGGTGGCTCATGGGCCAATCTGGTGATGCTGACCTCCGAATTATGTACATCTCCAATTAATTGTCATGGGCCGAACCAGCCTGACCCTTATTTTGGTAGATAGTTATAGCTTTTCGTGTCAAATTTGCTGGAGTAAAACACCCCTTTATCCTCTGTCTTTGCAGCTTGGAAATCCGCTGCAGTATAAGACTGTCCTTGTTGACACTCCATGGTGGGTGAGGAAAAGGGGTGCTGAATCATTTTCCTTTCGACATGGCTTCCCAACACCCTGGTTAAAAAAGACGTCACATTGAATCTGATGAGACTACTACGCCCACTCGATCCGACTATTGGCCACGTTTCTTGGTTATAGAAGCTGAAGACAAAGAACCAATTAAATTGAACCCATTTGCAATCTCCAAAGGTATCATTGGTATCTGCGGAGAGGTTACAAATGTCACAAAGCTTCGTTCTGGCTCTCTCCTTGTAGAATGTGCACGGAGACCTCAATCTGTCAATCTTCTCAAAGTTAATGAGTTTGTCAATATTAAGGTTGTTGTCTCTGTGCACAAGACCCTGAACTCGTGTAAGGGCATTGTCCGTGACAGAGCTCGTTGCCTGTCTGGCATGTCCGAAGACGATATAGCCAAGGAACTTGAACAACAGTCGGTCACAGCTGTCAGACGGTTTACTTTCAAGAAGGATGGTGTGGTCCAACCAACCAACACCTACCTCTTCACTTTCGCCCGAACGTCTATCCCTCAATCTATCAAAGCTGGTTACTGTAACATCGGAGTGGAGGTGTATATCCCAAATCCACTCCGGTGCTACAACTGCCAAGAGTTTGGACATGGATCCAAGTCCTGCCATGCCTCCGCTGTTTGTTACCGCTGTGGTGACAAGCACGAGGCCAATGACTGCATGAAGAATGTGAAGTGTTTAAACTGCGGTGGGAACCATATGGCTTCTTCAAAATCCTGCCCTGTGTGGAAACGCGAGTCCCAAATCATGAGAATTAAGACCGAACAAAATGTCTCGTACCACGAAGCCAAGAAGAGGGTTGAAGGTCTCACTACAAGCACTTCCACCATCTCCTACTCTGCTACTGTCTCTCGTCCTCCTGTCACTACTGCCTCTATCGACTGCCAGACTGATCTGACATGGGTCAAGTCTGTTCAGCCACTTCCTACTGCTTCAATCCAAAAAACAGTTGTGCCACCTTCATCTGTAACACCCCCAACACCAAAAATCGTCAAAAATGTCGAGTCTCAGACTTCTGAAATAACACCTGAACCAGAACCAGTTAAACTTACAAACAGGGAAAAGAAATTATTGAAAAAGAAGCAGCTGAGAGAACAGCTGCAAACACCAAAGGCCACCTCTCCTTTAGAGGTCCCAGTAGAAGTCCATAACTCCTTTGGTCCTCTGGACATGAAGGTAACTCCATCTCCACATGATACCGATAGGAGTACTACAAAGTCTTCCTCACGTTCGCGTGACATTTCTCCTGTGGAAGCCCCACCATGAATCCACAAAACATTGTACAATGGAGTTGCAGAGGTCTCAGGAAGAATTTTAATGAAATACAACTTTTTAAACCGTCTGTTTTTTGTCTCCAAGAAACATATCTGAAACACACAGATCTATTTGATATCCGTCAGTACAGTTCTTACCACTCGTTTTCCCCTACTGGTGATAGGGCTACAGGAGGTTCTTCTATCCTGGTGAAGCAGAGCATAATCCATAGCCCTGTTCCAATCAACACTACTCTTCAAGCTGTTGCTGTCCGTGTTACTTTGAACATAGTGTTTACACTGTGTTCACTGTATCTTCCACCTTCCTCAACTATCCGTCAATCAGATCTTCAGACTTTGTACGATCAGCTCCCGAAGCCCTGTATCATCATGGGCGATTTTAACGGCCATAATCCCCTATGGGGGAGTCCTGACATAAATAATAAGGGAAAAGTCCTTGAAGATTTTATCTCAAACAATTATTTATGTATCTTCAATGATGGTAATACCACATATCTTCATCCGCCACTGGCACATACTCTGCCCTTGACCTTTCACTGACAGATTCAAATATTTTAAATGAATTCGAATGGTCGGTCCATGATGACCTTTGTGGAAGTGACCATTTTCCAACAATACTTACAACTAAAATCCGTCTGACGAACCACCTTCAACAAGGTGGAACTTTACAAAGGCCGATTGGTCTTTATTCCAAACACTATGTTCTGAAAACCTAACACCCGAAAGTTTCAGGAATGTTCCTGATCCTATACAACTTTTTTCAGATATATTGAATGCTATTGGAGACGAAAGCATTCCTAAGTCCTCTGCAAACCCTCATATACGTAAACCATGGTTCGATAATAATTGTAAACAAGCTAGAAAAAATAGGAAGAAAGCTGAAAAATATTTCCGACGACATCCAACTGTCCACAATTTGAATAACGTTAAAATCACGGGCGCTAAAGCGAGACGTACCTTTAAACAGAATAAACGTGAATCCTGGAGGAACTATGTTTCAAAAATTAATTCCCGCACACCTATGTCCAAGGTGTGGAACATGGTTCAAAAGATTAAGGGCAAAGGATCTAAATCTGGAGTTCACCATCTTAAAGATGGTGATACACTTTTAACTACTAAATCCGAAATTGCCAACAAACTTGGTGACACTTTGGCAAATCATTCCTCATCATCAAACTATAATACTCAATTTCAGAGGTTTCAAAAACAGCAGGAAAAGAAAAAAGTCAATTTTAACTCTGATAATTGCGAGGACTATAATGAAACATTTTCACTCCATGAATTATATACTGCCCTTGGGCAATCTCATGACACTGCAGCAGGAGCCGACAACATCCACTATCAGCTCCTGAAACACTTGCCCGATTCATGTTTGGAAACGTTACTTAGTATATTTGATGAAATATGGACAACCTGAAATTTCCCTTCTTCGTGGCACAATGCTATTATTATTCCTATTCCAAAGCCAGGACGGGATCATACAGATCCATCCAACTACCTTCCAATGTCATTAACTAGCTGTGTTTGAAAAACTATGGAGCGCATGGTCAACAATCGATTAGTCTGGTACCTGGAGACCAATAACCTCCTGAGTGACATCCAGTGTGGTTTCCGAAAAAACAGAAGTACCATTGACCATTTGGTGCGTTTAGAATCGTTTATAAAAAATTCCATTGTCAACAAACAACATACTGTATCAATCTTTTTCGATCTAGAGAAAGCATATGATACAACGTGGAAACATGGTATTTTAAAAGATTTACATGAATTTGGATTGAGGGGCAGATTACCTCAGTTCATATCTCAATTTTTAAACAACAGACAATTTCAAGTACGAGTGGGCTCTACCCTGTCTGATCATTTTGATCAAGATCAGGGCGTCCCTCAAGGCAGCATACTATCAGTCACCCTTTTCAGCATCAAAATTAATAGTCTCACTAAAGTATTAAACAATAGCATTGATGGTTCACTTTTTGTGGACGATTTCAACATTTCTTGTCGTGGAAAGAATAGGAGTACAATAGAAA